TCTATGACTACTTGGCTGTTCCATTCAATCCATGATGATGCAATATTAATAAGTGCCTCAATAAATAAAAAAAATCATGTTTCTACCCTTGATAGATCTTGTATGCATAAAGTATCTATGATTATAGATACTTTATGCATACAAGATCTATCAAGGGTAAAAACATGAATTTTTTTTATTTATTGAGGCACTTGTTAATATTTAATGCTACCACTAAACTACGGGTTACTAAACCCTTGAGTCACATGCTTTTCCATTCTATGGCAATTCAGGTACTTTGAATGAACATCTATTCCATTTTACCCATTAAAAGTCATGCCTAACAGCTCACCAAAATATGCCCTTCATTACCTTTATTAGCAATAGGCTTTTTCTGTGACCCTCTCTAGCCTATAATCATTTCAATGATAGGGCCTGGCTTTCCTTGACTTCATGATTGTAACAGAGAACAAAGAATTCAGCAAAAATCATGCCTTAGTAACATCAGTGGGCAAAGTAGGGTCTTTTCTGGCTAATAAATCATCCATAGCCATCTCCTCCTGTGCCACCTTCCCCTCCCTCCTAGATTGTAAGCTCGAAAGAGCAGGGCCCTCGATCCCCTCGTGTATTGTATTGTTACTGTCTTGTCTCATGTTCTGTCCCCCTTGCTATTGTACAGCGCTGAGCATACCCTTTGGCGCTATATAAATACTGTATAATAATAATAAAAAATGTAATAGCATGTAGGCAGGTGCAGTCTGCTTTCTCCACTGTAGGTGGCGCTCGACCGGAGTGGTGCCACACCCTGAGAGAAACTAGTTTCTCTATGGTTTCTTGGTCCCTGAAGGCTGCTTTCTGATGGCTATGCTGCATGCTGCTTGGGATACCTGGTGGCCATCTTGGGTCAGTAGGGCCTTCATAAGTTCCTGACCCCAGGTTTTGGATGGCTTTTTGCGAAGTGGTCAGAGTAGGGAAAGATCACCCATCTGTCCGAAAAATTGATTAGCGACAGGGAAAGGTTCCTGATGAATGAAGGACAGGCTAAGGACATGCAATCCTTCATGGAAGCCTTGCCATTGGGACTGGACTGGCCAGATCGCATTTTGCGATCTTTCCCACTGTCTCTCTGCACTGAACTGTGAGTTTTACCCAATGCAGTGCCCTCCAGATCGGGTTGTTTGTGGTTGAACATGCTCTTCAATACAAGTTCTGAGTTATCTGCAACCTAACTCTGTGTCATCACTGCCGCCGCAACACGCTGCACTTGCCCACAAGCTGGCATCTCATATATAAAGATTATAGGGAGGCTGGTCAGATGAGGACACTGCAGAAAAATATTAGTAGTAGTAGTCTGGAAGGCAGAGTAGGTATGAAGCCTTTTTTAAAAACCAATTCCGGCAACCATATAACCTTGCAGCCTTCTGAGTATGTCATAACAGGAACATGAACACACTTGTACACAGCATAGAAAGTATTCTACATGTAACTCCAGTAAACAGCGACATCTACAGGCTGATTGTAAACCGCATATTCCTCTCTTGTTATATAATGTGACCCAGAAATGATAGCTGAATTTTTCCACAGCAACATTTAGAAATTTTAAGTTTGATCATGCAGATTCAATGTGATTTAGAACCCTTGTAGGGTACTTGGTGTGGCAATACAGAGTTGGGCTGTATACAATTATGTCTTCCAGATAACACTGTACACCATGCAGGATACAAAACTAATCACTCAGCAGTGGAAAATCAGCAAGGTTTCCTCAAATAAAACATATACTAAGAGAAGTATGGGAGATTACATGACTGATCTTCTTCTAAAACTGGCCATTCAGCTGATTAATTAAAAAATAAATAAATGACAGATTACTCCATATACGCAAACGAGGAAGATGGTGGAATCCCTGCCATCAGGATATTGTATTCTTACAGTGGCACCAACTACACTGAACAGTGGCTGCAGCCAAGCAATGGTACATTTTCCAACATGTGCACAGAGGCTAAATGGTTAGCACTTCTCCCTGGCAGTACTAGGGTCATTGGTTCAAATCCCAACCACGGAACCACCTGCCTGGAGTTTGCATGTCCTCCCTGTGCCTGCATGGGCTTCCTCCCACACCCCAAAGACATGCTGGTAGGTTAATTGACTCCTGTCTAAATTGGCTCTAGCATGTGCATGTATGTAGGTTAGGGACCTTATATTGTATGCCGTTTGAGGGTTAGGGACTGATGTGAATGTGCAATATATATGTAAAGCGCTGCGTACATTTACAGCGCTATATAAGTACCTGAAATAAATAAATAAAATAAACATGTCCCTTTGACAGAATTCTTTAACTGCTTGCCCTCCTGAGCATTTACCTCCCTTCCTGAACAGTCCATTTTTTGCGATACGGCGCTGCGTTACTTTAACTGACAATTGTGCAGTCATGCAATCCTGCACCCAAATGAAATTTATGTCCTTTTTTTTCCACAAATGGAGCTTTCTTTCGGTGGTATTTGATCGCCTGTGTAGTTTGATTTTTTGAGCTATAAACAAAAAAAGACCGAAAATTGTGAAAAAAAGAAAACTATATTTTTGACTTTTTGCTATAAAACATATCCAGTAAAATAATTTAAAATATCAAATTTCATCATAAATTTGGGCAAAAATGTATTCTGGTACATGTCTTTGCTAAAAAAAAAACCAATACGTGTAAATGAATTGGTTTACGTGATATTTATACCATCTACAATTGGCGGTATATATACTGCAATTTACTTTTTTTTTTTTATACTAGTAATGGCGGCAATCAGCGACTTATAGTGGGACTGCAGGACTGCGGTGGGCATTCTGACACTGGGGGGAACTGACTTGGTGTCACTGACATCCCCAGTGACACCAATACAGTGATCAGTGCTAATAAAAAGCACTGACAGTGCACTAATGGCACTGCGCAGGAAGGGGTTAACATGTGGGTCGATCAAAGGGTTAACTGTGTGCTTTTTCACAATGGGGGCTGTGTGTGTTCTTCACCATAAGCACAGTGCTTTGTGTGGCTCTGCTATGCAGAGCCATACAAAGCAGTGTGCAGGAGCTGACAGGGGAGAGACCTGTATTGTTTACATACAGGTCTCTCCCCTCTCCGTGATACACAGCGATTGCCTGGTGCCAGCGGGGAATCACCAGCTGGGACCCGGTGACTGACAGCCGAGCCCGCCAATGGTGGCGCAGGTAGGGCGCACCTCCTACCTACAAATGCAAAATCACATATATATATATATGTGTGTGTGAATTTGAGCACCCCTGCCACCCTGTCGCAGCATTTCTGCTATAGGGCGGTGGGACAGCGGTTAAACAATTGACTTATGTCGAGCAGAGATGTTCACACACTCATCAAAATTCAACTGGTCCCTGAATTGATCTGTGTATAGCAAGCTGAAGAATGAAAATCTGTCTCTGGCTCCATGCACACTGGCTTAGAACCGTTTCTTCTACGGGAGTTTTGAGTTTTGCCTGTAGAAGCAGCTCAGTGTTGTCCTATGTGTCCATGCACATTAGGGGGATTGGAGGCATATTTTAAGCTCAATGTTTGCAGGCAGGAAAAAAAGACTCTTCCGCTTTGCATGCAGTTTTGATTGACGCTTTCTAGCAGAAAAATGCTAAACTCGTCTAAACTGTGTACAAAAGCGCTCTATATCAGCATTTTTTTTTCTGCCAAGGGAACTGGCATTTTTTTGTTTTTGTTTTTTTTTAAGCCCATTGTGCATGGAGCTTAAAGCACTGACCAGGTATACAGATTAGACGGTAAAGGTCAGAACTCCCAATTGCATACCTATTCCGGGTCAACACCTCTGAGTTTTTTTTTTTTATTAAATGATATTAATTTGAATAGAATTGGAAAAAATTGTTACAGCATGTAAATAGCAGATTGCTACATAATCTAGTGCAGGGAGATTCTCTGTAGTTTTTTTTTTCACTTTAGCACTGGACAGTAATTTAAGGTTAAAACATTACTTACAACCAAAATAAGTACAAAATAAAAAAAATATATCAATAAGAACTCATGACAGTCATAACCCTGAACACTATTTGACAAACCATGTATTTTAAAAATATACTTTGAGTAAAGTGACCACAGGATGGCACTGTTTATAAAAACAAAAATATATATAAAAAAAAGCTGTGCTGAGCATGTAGCAGCTTCTATGTATTATTTTAAATGATGACTTTGTAATTATTGTTTATTCTTAAAGCAATTGAAAATATTTATTTGAAAAAAATGACTGACAAGTGTTCAGATGATGGATAGTATCTTATTTCTTTCTATATGCATGCAATTTGTGTGCTGTTTTATCTAGGTGATAACTGTTGCTTCACCGCGTTCCACAAATAACAAATAGCTAGTATTTCCATAACTCTTGTCCTCCAGTCGGGTGTTTGATGAAGATATAGTAAAGCCAAACCCCAGGAAAAATCAGTGCCCAGTCACATGGGTGCGAATTGAAATCGCACCTGAAATGCCTTCTAATGGGCAGCACAGTGGCTAAATGGTTAGCACTCCCACCTGGCAGTACTAGGGTTGTCAGTTCAAATCCCAGCCATGGTACCACCTGCCTGGAGTTTGCATGTTCTCCCTCTTCCTGTGTGGGTTTTCTCTGGGTACTCCGGTTTCCTCCCACACTCCTAAGACATGCTGGTAGGTTAATCAACTCCTGTCTAAATTGGCCCTAGAAGGTGTGTATGAATGTGAGTTAGGGACCTTAGATTGTACACCCCTTGAGGGTTAGGGACTGATGTGAATGTACAATATATATGTAAGGTGCTGCGTAAATTGACGGCGCTATATAAGCACCTGAAATAATAACAGTGAATGTCAGTGACTTAACATGTGCAATTTGTAATGTAGTTTTTGCATTACTTTTTCTGCAGTTTTGTTGCAATTTCACATTCATAGAATAAAATGGAAATCGCACTGCAAATTGCAAGAAATCGCTGAAAATCTTCACAAGTAGCAATAAATTACACCTGAAATTGCGCTGAAATTGCACACAATGCAAGTGTACAATCCAAATGCACACATTCCTACATTAAAAATGGCTGTGTGTATAAGTTGGTGCTGCAGCGACCGTCGGCTGGAACTGAACAGAATCAGCAAGGGAGAATGTCACCAGCACACTGAGGATCACCAATATGAGTCCAAAAGTTTTGATGAATGATCACATAGTTTCAGCAAGGCAACGTTTCAGTGTCTCGCAGGACCCCTTCATCAGGCATGTGACGAAATTGCACACAAATCGCGCGATTTTAAATCTCAGCGGTGTGACCAGTGACTTAGAGTTAGAACCTCTGTCAGGTTTTATTGATGTGTGTGCACCGATTGGAGAGATTTCTCTATCTTGTGTCACCAGGGTGTAATCAGCAAGAATATATTCCTAACCCATCATTATACTGTATACAGCATGAGTACCATGTTCCAAAAATGTGCCATGCCATTAAAAACAACCTTGAGCTCCCATTAAGTGACTTTGCCTATACTAAGGAAATTTCAATAGTCCATTTTAGACAGGGGATTTTAAATCGCTATGAAACCCAAAAGCGAACATTTATTATATTGCAATTTACCAATTCTTAGATGTGATGAATGCCTTAGTTTTCTCTTTTAGGTGTTCTTTCCTTTATGTTCACCTGGTGATCCAGCCAGTAAGTCTGTTATTTTTCAACAGAACAGCTGTCTTGAAAACGTAGCAGATGGTGTTGAGACAAACCATTTACCACTGACAGGGGTACATATTTATTTTTACTTATTGTAAAACTTTTATCCCAAAAGGAAAAGAACTCTTGTAAGTACAGCGTGAGCTGGAGTTTGGCTTTAATTTGTTAGTGTATGCAAGTCTGTTAGTGCCCCCTTTGGTCCTTCATCCAGAGTGAGGAAATAATACAGGACGTGCTACCGGTCAGATCAGATGGGGCTGTACAGTGGCTTAGTGGTTAGCACATCTGCATTGCAGTAAATGGGTCATGGGCAGGGGCGGACTGACCATTTGGAAACTCGGGCACTGCCCGAGGGCCCGGGGTCAGTAGGGGACCCCATGAGATGCCCCTGGTACCTTTTTCATAGGATTTTTTGAGTTTGGGCAAGGACACAGGGGCCCCATTATCCCCTATTGCCAGGGGGCCTCATAAAAAAAGACCGAATGCTGTCAACACATCTAAGGCTAGGTTCACAACTATGCAGTTTGCATTTTATCCGTTTCTGCGGTGATTTTTGTGGTTTTTGCATTTTTGAACATGCATTTTTTATGCGTTTTTAATGCGTTTTGCTTTTTTTTTTTTCAACTTGTTGCTGGGCAGTATAAAACGCATCAAAAACACGTCAGAAACGCACTACATGCTTTTCTGCAGCATCTCCATTGAAGTCTATAGAACCAAAAATGCAATGTTTTGCGTTTAAGCCTGCGTTCACACTGATGCGGTTTCTGTGCGAATTCCGCATCAAAATCACACCCCGTTCATGCGAACCACTGCGGGTGTGTATGTTAAGTTAACAACATCCCGAAACCGGTTCGCAAAATGTGGTGCAATGTGCAGAATTGGATCGCTCCTGCACCAGTGTGATTTGAGCCATACAGAATGTATGGCTCAAATTGCAACTCACAGAATTCGCATGTGATTTGCACAGGAATGCGGTGCAGTTCCTGTGTGAATCACATGCTATGTTCCACACCGCAGAAGTGTGAACCCAGGCTAAAAGGTCCCTGACCCTTTCCAAAAAACATTAAAAACACGGAGATGTAAACCTGTCCCATAGGAAATCATGTTAAATGGACTGCTGTGCGTGTCTGCAAAATGCATAGGTGGGAACCTAGACTAATGATTGGTAAGCTGCAATATAGTACATTTTTGGTTTCGTACCATTTTTTTTTTGTTTGTTTGTTTGTTTTTTTATATACTGCTTTAATGTTAACTCTTCCTCAATGAGTCATACTCTAACATTGCAACTTTGAGAGCCTGCATTAGGGGCTAAATTGCACCAGACATGTGAAAACTGCCAAGAATTGCACAGGCACAGCCACAGAATCTACCTGACATCTCTATACTGTGTTTAACAAATCCTGGGTAATGCCTGTTCAAAGATGATGATGTCCTTCTGGATGACGATATTGTCAGGGTGGGTGTGTTTTTAATAGGAAAAAAATATATCTGATGCTAGGTCCAAATTCAGTTCCAGCAAGGTGAACTTTTTACTGAAGTACTGGACAGCCACAGTATGAGGCTGATTTACTAAAGGTGTTGAGAATGTCAACATCATTTTGTGAATATTCACTTCAGTTATTCATTCATGTGCAGATGAAATAAGTAAACAGATTTTTTTTTCACACGATTGTACAGTTTTAAATGTTATAAAAACATTATTTACAAAGTTTGTGACATTAACATCCAACCTAAATACAGTAAGTGCTAAACAATGGCACCAACATTACTAGTCACTTTTTAAATTCACTTGATGGCAGTAAATAGCACAAATAATACTAACCTATTATTTTATACTAGAAAAAGGATGCCTGCTCCGGCAACACTGAATAGAAACTGGTGCATGGCAAATCAGATATAGGAGAATTGACTGTAGCAGGGTACATACTGTACAGAAAAATGCAACCCACACAACAAAATACAAATGAGCTAACTTTTTTCATTATGTGAAAAAGTCTCAGGTCATTGTTTTAACACTTTTATGGCTGAATTAAATTATTACTGGACAATGGATTGTGGCTTTCTTATAATCATATAGTATTACTGTTTTCTTGCATTAATAGGTTAGAAATAGGTCAGAAATTGCATAAATAACAGATTAAAATTTGTGTTGAGTGAATCTTAAAGAAGAAGTATTGGTTTTAAAAAACAGCCATCATCATCACCTCTATGCAGCAGTATCAGTGTTATGCTGCAGCTGTCCCACGTTGGCTGTAAGATCGAAAACTGAGTGATCATGTGACCGCTGATCACTCAGTTCTACGTTGACCCACTGGAGCACCATGCAGCAGAGGGGGCAGATGCAGGTAGCTGCAGCTCTCAGCCTTATGCTGAGAGGTGGAGCCAGCTGTCAATCAAGGAGCTAGGTGGTTTCTGACAATACTGTCAGGATCCTTCTAGAGCCTGGAGCAGCTCTGCCATGTCAAATGAATATCAGCTGACTCTGGGTCACAGGAGAGCAAAAATAAGTGCACTCCTGTGACGGACAAGAGAAGTATGGCCGAAAAAGCTTTCACTGTACTACACTTTTAAGTTATATTATATCTGATCAATACAATGATAAGTCGTATTGCCGCATTTATATATTTTTATAAATAGTGTCCTGGCCACAGAGCTACCAAGGAAACAGTTGTGGTATGTGTTTTTCACTCGCCAGAATATACCAGTCTTCCTGTACCATGACATGAGTGGCAAATCATCTATATTGTAGGAAGCCTGGAACTTTCAGGAACCATTTGTTAGTCTCCGATTTGGTTGTGTACTGCTTAACATTGGATTCAAGAGCCAAAGTGCACATTAAACTTCATTTAAACCATGCAATAAGTGTTTCGAAAATACTTAAATTTGACTAAATGTTTTGAGTTTTCTGTGTCTGATTGGGTCTGAAACATGTACTGCCAAGCCACATAAAGTAAATCACCATGATCATCTTTTGTTGCCAAGATTTGGGTTCATTTTTATGAGGATTCTGTTTCAGCTGAGTTTCTTTCATTGGAATATGACCTGACCCGAGCTCTGCCAGCTTCACACACAGGCATTATTATGCACAGAAGTCTATAGCATGTGTTCTGCTGATTTCTACTGAGGTTTTTGTCAGTATTCTTTCCTAAAGTAGACCCTGTCACCATGTGTTAACATTTTTAAAAAAGATGCATGAAAAAATAAAAAAACATTTACATATACGTGTCTTGACTGTGCCACTGTTATCCACTGCATCCATGAGATACCACTGCCAGAAGAATCTTCACATCCACCACTTTTGGGAGTCTTGGATGCCTGGTCCCCTGCTGTCTCTGTCCTCTACCACTATGGCAGTACAGCAGTTTGGGCAGTGACATGTATTAAAATACTTCTTTTCATTACAGCTTTTTTATATTTTTAAATGTGATTATAGGGTTGTTTTAAAGTGTAATTCTCAGCAATGTTACATGAATAAATTCCTATGTCATTACCTCACTCGTAATACCTTTTTTTTAAAAAAATGGTTTTTGAGCCCCAATCAAGTGTTTTTCCTTGGTGGCAACAATATCATTATTCTTCTAAAGGCTGAAACATTCCCTAAGTTTCCTCTCCACCAGTAATCATTCATACAGCAACAATACACTCATACAATAACTTTGCAGCATGTCAAAAGGTACCAGACTGCAGCAGGTACTGTCTGGTATTTGTGAACACAGCTAGGAAAAGGTGTGAGCCAGACATATCTGGGTTCAGCTCGAGGCAGGTTTGAAGAAGATCATTGAAGTTCGGGTGCTGAAGCTGAACTCCGTTGAAGTCAAAGGGGAACTGACGGTTGAAAAACATTAATGGCCATTTCTGGACTAATATGCAAGGGATTGTCAAACACGTGTCAAAGGAAAAGTAATCCCCTCCTGCTAAATTATGAATGAACTGTGATTATCCACATTTTATTGGAAAGTTGAGTAAAATTTCACTTGCCACACCCAGGCCTGATTGCTGCTAGATGAGAGAAGGAGAGAAGCGCCTCTAAGTGCAATATGTCTCTTTATTAAAGTAGATATGTGTAGGAACACTCACACAGATAGGATATATATAGGCATAAAAACCGTGGTAAAACAGTAGGGTTGTCTCCAGGGTGAAGAGCCGTCATCTGCTGCGGTGTGGAGCGGTCAGCTTGCCGCTGGAGCAGCGTGGTAGTAGCTGGAGTATATATATATATATATATATATATATATATATAAGTTTGGAATAAAAATGGTGATTGTATGGGTAAAAAAATGGTGTTTATATTTTAGTATTAATGTCTAATTCCTCGATGAGTCCACCTGGGGACAATGTGTCTAATATAAATATCCAATATTGCGCTGATACACCACTTCTTACCTGATTACTGCTAGACCTGTTGAATTAGGAAATCACTTAAATAGAAGCTGTCTGACAAAGTGAAGCACAGTAAAAGATCTAAAAAAACACATCATGCCCTGCTCTAAAGCAATTCAAGAACAGATGAGAAACAAAGTAATTGACATGTATCAGTCTGGAAAGGGTTACAAAGCTATTTCTAAAACTTTGGGATGCCAGTGAACCACGGTGAGAGCCATTATCCACAAATGGAGAAAACTTGGAAGAGTGATGAACCTTCCCAGGAGTGGTCGGCCTACCAAAATTACTCCAAAGCAAAAAGACGACTCATCCAGAAAATCATAAAAGAACCCAAAACAACATCTAAAGAACTGCAGGCTTCACTTGTCCTAGTTAAGGTCAGTGTTTAGGATTCAACAATAAGAAAGAGTCTGGGCAAAAATGGCATCCATGGGAGAGTTCCAAGGTGAAAACCACTACTAACAAAAATAGAACACAAAGGCTCATCTCACATTTGCCAAAAAACATTTTGATTATCCCCAAGGCTTTTGGGCAAATATTCTGTGAACTGATGAAACAAGAAATTTACTTTTTGGAATGTATATGCCCGTTGCATTTGCAGATTCAGGACTGGGGCTGCTTTGCAGCTTCAGGACCTGGACGACTTGCCATAGTTGATGGTACCATGAATTCTGTGCTCTACCAGAAAGTCCTAAAGAAGAATGTTTGGCCATCAGTTTGTGACCTTAAGCTCAAGTGCACTTAGATTATGCAGCAGGGGGTTTAGGAGGCAATTACTTTTTTACATAGGGCCAGGCAGGTTTGGACATCTTTTTTTCCTTTACTAAATAAAATCATGATTTAAAAACTATATTTTCTATTTAATCAGGCGCTGGGTATGGCTAGATATGTGATGTCATCCTGCACACCGAAGCTGTACGTAGTGGTGGCAGTCTTTGTATTATACACAGATGTGCCTTCCTCTCCTGTAAGTGCAATTTTAAAAAAACAAATGTTTTAGCTTAGTACTATGCTGTGGGATTCAAGTTTTTGTGCCTTTATCTCTGCTTAGAGTGACATTTAGGAAGTAATTGTAGAAGTGGAATTTGCTATAGTTGCAAGGCAGCCAAGCGCATAGTGATATTGTTGAGGGATCCAACATTCTGGTAAGGAGTGTACATACACTAGTGGCTGCAGATCTGGAACACAATCCGTTTGTTGGGACTTTTTTCACTAATTGCTTTATTGAGCACTCTGTACTACTTATATTATATATTTTAAACTTTTGTGTTTTATTTGTATTAGCATTTATATTTTGAGTATGTGTTTGTGATTACACTGTTGAATAAGAAATATTTTACTGAAAATTTAAAGGGG